GGTTTTTCATTTTCAACATAGCAATAAACCTAACATGAAAGCTAAATTAATATCTTTGGTCAGGGGCTGAAATCAAAGCTTGAAGATCTTGATCACACAAAGCAAACATATGTTAAAAATCCTTGGTTTAATATTTTCATAGAATTATTCTCACTTGCCCAATTGCTATAGCAAAATCCTTTTTCTATCAAAAGCTACAACGTTTATTTGATGGACCTGGATCAATGAACAGTGACCTAATCCCGGTCTCAACTTTTTCTTCTGCAATCCTGATGTGAAGATTATTAATAATTCAGAAATGCTATCACGCAAATTCTAACAAAAAGCCAATTTCAGTTTTTATCCCAGCTTGAATACAAAACAAAATTATTTTATATATATATATATATATATATATTTGCGTGTGTGTGTGCATACATGAAAGAAAGAGAGAGACACACACACAGATCAGCAATATCAATTTTCACCATTGCATATTTTAATACAAGTGTCACCACTTGAAGCATGTGATAGTCAGCTGTCAAATTTCTCCAATTCATTCAAGCTGAATAACCGCTTTGTAACACTAGAAATATTTATAAAAAGAACAGAGTAGAGAAATTAAACAACCCATTTTCATAGGAATATTAAAACTATTTGCTTTCACAAACAAGTTGAATATACTGACAATAAAAAAGATGTAATATTGGTTTACATTTGTTTTAGGAATTATACAGCTTTCTATCGGAGTTTTGTAAGCAAATAGAAATAAGGAACAATACTGTGGATGTCAGGTCAGTTGGTTAATTTAACAGCATGTCAACTTTTGGGTTATTTAATATTACAGAAAAGTTTTAACAGACAAAAATTGCAATGAAGAGACAGATTAGAATTTGCTAGAGTCAGATATGCAGACAATAGCCCGTTGGTGCTAGAGCCAGTTGACGGCCCAACCAGCACTAGAGTTAGGAAACAGCCCACTCAATACTAGAGCCAGACAATGGCCCACTCGGCGCTAGACCCAGACAGGTAGGCAATGGTCTGTTTGATAGATCCAGACAGACAGACAACAATCTACTTTGTATCAGAGCCAAAAAGGTAGACAATGATCCAGTTAAGACTGAAGTTAAAGAAATAGACACTGATCACATAACAGAATCTGCAAGTATCCTACTGTAGGGCAGTTCATTTTAGAAAAGGTCTTAACTCTCTTCAGAGGATACAGTTAGCATACTTCAAGCACTGCTAACAAGTCAAACAGTGGGTGTGGTATATTACAAACAAAACTGTAGAAATATAAGAAATTCTTCCATAATTACAAAGACTATTATTAAAGAAAAGTTACTTGTATTTACTTAGCTTATCTTAGTCTGACAAAAGACCTCAACTGCAAAGGACTCACTGTAGAGGTAATTGTTTCTGAGACTAATTTGGTAAGCACTACTTCATGGCAAAATATGAAATCTATACTCATATTTAGTAAGTTTAGTTGAATAAAGCCAAAAAGTATAAGTCCAGAACATACAGTGAGAATCAAGCTGAATACAAAAGCAATAGTTTGCATGATTAGTTTGTAAAGTGCAGATACCTCCAAAAATTTTCTAAAAAAAGAGTATAGTATGATAAAAAAAAGGCCATAAATTTAATAAAAACAGTTTTATCACCAAATTGGTTATTATTAAGAGGAAAGCTCAAAGTATGTTTTTTAATTATTTTATTTTTAAAATCCTTTCTAGCACTTTTTTTTTTAAATCAGAATCATCCAAGGCAAGGCAGTAATGTCACTAAAACACCAGGGATTTGTGGAGGAATTAGGAAGAGAAACATTAATGATGAGTAGAAAGAGAAGAGAGTAATCAGATGGACAGTAGATAGCAATTGACACTGCATTTTTTAAGATTAAAGTTGGCTGGAAAGCAAGGAGCAGGAAGGGAGTTCTACAAGCGAGAGAAGAAAACTGTTAGCATAGAATTTATGGCTACACATAGCCAGCTCAACTGTAAATTGATGAGAACCTGATGTCAGTCTAAAGCTTAAATTCAAAAACTGTAGGTACCACAGTGAAGAGCTCATTCAAACAATTGCCATGAAAGTATTTATAGAAAAGACAGAGAGGCAACTTTATGGCAGTGGGAAAATGACTCGAGCTGAGCTGCCAGATAAGGACCAATAATATTGCTGATTCTTCTTTGGATTTTATCAAAGAGCTCAAGTTAAAATTCAAAATTTTGGTTAAGCAAGTGGGCCAAAGATTAGTATTGGAAATTTTAGCATCTTTTTTTGCATTAAAAATAAATTGCTCTGAATTGTAAAATAAAAAAAATGCAATAAAATTCTGACATTATTTAATTAGGAAAGCTTTTAATGCCTTTTATAAATAATATATATTAAGGACATTATTATTGTAAGAAAAAAATTTTTTCAATGAATAATGAATTTTTACAAGAATTATTTTCATTTTTTTTTTAAATTTTAATTTGAAAAATTTATTAAGTTTTAAATGTTTTTAAATTCTATATTAATTTCATTTAAGTGTATTTTTGGAAGATTTTTTTTAATAAAGACAATTACATTGTGATCAAAGACGATTAAGAAAGGGTGCTAATCATTTATGTTAGCACCCACCTCCCAAAAAAACCCTCCTTCTAGTCAATTTAAATTAGTTTTTGAAATAGAGCAATGTATTTTGCTTATTGGTTATATTAAATTTAATCTAGTAGCTTCAAATTAAAATACAAGCCTCAAGAAAGATTTTTCATTAAAAAGTAAACTATTATTTCATGGTATGAGAACTCCATAATTTTACACAATAGGAACATGGAATTTAATTTTTATAGCATGCAAGAGAGCCTGCCACAAAACAAGTTAACATTTGATAAGTTCTTATTCACTAAATGTGGCTTAGTTTTGATACAAGATCATAAGAATGAAGTACCCAGTAAGGATTGACCACACTACAGAATAGTAATGTAAAATCAGCTTGCTGACTATTACCACTGAGCAAAGGGCATTGTCTTCTGTGAGTAAATTTAAATTTATCTAGAAAAAGTCCACATACAGGGCACCCAGTGAGGACAACTAGATAGAGTAATGGTTTGCTCAGCTAGTATGTTAACCCTTATATTATGAGAAGCCACTCTCTCTCTCTTCATAAATAACAATATGAATACCAACAGGGACAGTATTTCTTGTCTTTTGAGTGCAGTTTATAATCACCAAAGTTAAGCAATGTCAAGCCCGCTCAGTATAATTGATAATGGCCTAGAATTGTTAATCAGAGAGCAGAATTGGTTTAGTTATATTCACTTATGCTCAAATATCCTTGAAAAAGGTATGAATCCACCTCTTCTCCCACCAGCTATGGGGTAATTAGTAAGACTTGTATCACTAAATCATTATCTCCTAAAACATTGTTATAATCTAAAAATATTTTCTGGCTTTAAATAACTTGCAAAATGTTAATAAACCAGAAAAAATGAATCAATCAATCTTTTGAGTGTTTCTGCCAAAAATAGTATAACAGGAATTTCCCAGCAAGTAAATAGCATTACTAGAAAGTAGGTATGAGTTTCAGCAGTTTGTAGAGGTCAAAATGAAGACATGGTGTGAATTCCAAAAGAGTAATATAATATATAATTACCATTGTTAGTGAAAACAATGTGAGGAGCACAAAATGAAGACAACGTGAGGAGCACAAAATGAAGACAACGTGCGGAGGACAAAATGAAGACAACATGTAAATTTCAAAGAGATATATTAATATGGTGATCAATATTAATATGGTGATCAATATTAATATGGTGATCAATACTTCCACTGGACATATTTATATGTCTTTATAAAACTTACATTGCTTGTTATCAATATATGTTTACAAGACACCATGAAATGTTGGTTCTTAGTATTTGTATTATAAACTAACAAGCACTTAGTGCTATTTTTAAACAAGTGTAGACATATAGTAATGTACATGTTTTGTAATAGAATTTTATATTGTATTGGGGTTGTCATTTAGCTTACTGAAGAGTATCTGATCAAAACCAAAATAGTGGTGCTCATGAGAAATCACTGTTAGCATCTTTATAATTATTTATTTTCAATAAATTGTAATTTCCTATTTCATCCAAAACGGGCCAGCACAGCCAGGTAACAATATTATAAAAGTGAAGCAGTGAACATGTTGTTGACACTTAGAAGGAAAAGTAGCAAAAATGTTAGCATCTATTTTCTTATTTTTATACATTTTTTTTTTTTTTTAAGCGTTTCACCCCAAGCAAGGCGGGAAGCCACTAGGATGCAAGGGGTTACAGGAAATAGCAAGATCAGATAGGAGTGATAGAAGGAAGGATGAGGGTAGTGGATAGATTAAGGCAACTGGAGATGTCGATTGACATTACATTTGAATAGCTGAAGATTATAGCTCACAGGGAAACAGGAGAAGGGAAGGGAGTTCCACAGTCGAGAGGTGTGAGACATGAAGCTATTAGAGTAGAAGAGATGGCTACATTTAGGAGTTTCGACAGTGAAGGGGTGAGAGCGGGATGCCAGCCTCGTAGGGTGCTGGAACTCATGACGTCTGGGAACCAGCAAATGCAGCTCTTCGGAGCAATTTCCATGAAAGTATTTGTATAACAGACAGAGGGAGGCGACGGCGCGTCTGTGAGAAAGTGACTGTAGACGAGACGCCAGGGCGGAGCATATTCGCCTCTGGAGCCTATCAAGAACCCCGAGGCAAACAGAAGGGGCGCCAGACCATATATGGCAGCAATACTCCATGCAAGGGCGAATTGTAGATTTGTATATCTGGAGGATCGACTCAGGGGAGAAAAACTTCCTAGCGCAGCTCAGGGAGCCAACTTTCCTCGCAGTGGCGTCAAACATGAAAATAAATGCAATGTTTAACAACAAATTTATTTTTACGAAATCCATAACTTGTCAATGTAACTTGCAAGGGGGGGGGGTCACATTATAAAATAAGGAAAAAAGAGAAAAGAAAATGATGGTAAAGAAAATAATCCTACCTGTCCATCATCGGAACAACTGGCAATATAATCCCCACTGTCATCAATGCTGATCTGGTTTACTGTATTATTGTGCTGATAAAAAAAAAAAAAAAAAAATAGGTAAATAAGTGCAAAGTAATTAATATTGGTGAAATTGAGAGACAAGTTTCAATTAGAAATAAATCATTCATAATAAATAAAAAGAATAAAGTAATCCTTCACTCAGGCAGCATAAAACAAACTGCTATTCTCTGAATGGTGTAAAATCAATAAGACTGAGGTGTCAGTTATATGCCATGTGTCATGTATCTTATGACTGACAAAGCAGATTCCCCCCCCATCGCAGCAGGTTTCCATTTCTTTCTGCAATAGACCAGTTGCCATCCAAGACTATGGAACCTAGTCTGTCCTGCTATTTACCCATATCTTGAGAGAATTCATACCTTTCCCAAGGGTATTAGCACGTAAGTGAATGTAATGGATTCAACTAGAATTCAAAATCAGCTCACCGATTACACAATCCGAGCTGCTACCCATGACTCCACTGTGTATACATTTATTACAATTTAAACATTATTATAAACCAGTAATGGTGAACTATGCAGCAAATAAATACTGAAAACATGAGACTGTTCCTGTACCACAAGATCCACAAAATTCTGCTGATGAATAACAATGTCCTGAGAGTATATCTCATGGTTGATTTCCTTGATTCCAGCATATATGTATCGCCCAAGATATTTTTGGTAATCCTTCACTTAAGTGGAGTAACATAAATTGTTCTTCTCTGAACGACATACAATCAATAAGACCAAGGTGTATACATTTAATACAATTAAACATTATTAAAACAAGTAATGGTGGACTATGCAGCAAATAAATGCTGAGAACACTGAACTGTTCTTGGACTGCTGATGCCATATGAATTCAATGATCTAACAGATCAGTTGCTTCAGTGGCAACCTTTTGTCAGCAAAGAATGAATCATCTCTGACACTTTGACAATGTTTACATGATTTGCAATACCAGCAATAACCATCTGTTGCCTCTTGATAGGTATTGCAATACCAGCAATAACCAGCTGTTGCCTCTCGATAGGTATTGCAATACCAGCAATAACCAGCTGTTGCCTCTCGATAGGTATTGCAATACCAGCAATAACCAGCTGTTGCCTCTCGATAGGTATTGCAATACCAGCAATAACCAGCTGTTGCCTCTCGATAGGTATTGCAATACCAGCAATAACCAGCTGTTGCCTCTCGATAGGTATTGCAATACCAGCAATAACCAGCTGTTGCCTCTCGATAGGTATTGCAATACCAGCAATAACCAGCTGTTGCCTCTCGATAGGTATTGCAATACCAGCAATAACCAGCTGTTGCCTCTCGATTGGTATTGCAATACCAGCAATAACCATCTGTTGCCTCTCGATAAATATTTAGCCCAAATGTTCAGTTTCAATGTCGGCTGTTTCAAATGAGCTGTCATCGTGCTAACCAACACAGCCTCCTGAGATGATTGCCAAGCTCAAATAGGCACCAATCTTCTTGCAAAATATCTTCTCATAATAATAATTCATTTGGATCAATGATCGACAGTGGAAGAATTGGTCTACCATGTGACATGGCTGAAATGAAACAGTTTATTTTATGCTGTTTAAGTGAAGCAGAACTTTGACAGATTATTTTAGGCCACTTATGTGAAGGGTTACTAAGAATAACCCATAAATAGCTATTAAACGGCTTATGTAAAGAAAGTCTCAATTTGACATTGAAATTTATCTGAAAGTTCCTTGAATTTTCAATTTATTTTGGGGATTTTGTCCACCTTTGTGATAAGATGCTGTTTTTTGTTTGTCTTCTGTATGCTAACCTTGTCCTGTTTCTTTTGCACCAGTAACTTTTTTTTTACCTGAATTCATAATATTAGCTGTTTCTTTATAAGGAAATATTCAGCAGTAATTGCCCAAGCAGCCAGTTAACTTTCAGGTGAAATTTATAAAACCGTTCTATTAAAACAATTTTTTAGGCAAGTCGGTTTCTCCAGTCCATTAACTGTTATTGCTCTTTCCAGTACTGATGGAGTGGTGGAAGCCCTATCCTTTAGTTATAAGTAATGTAGAACATCAAAATCTTGATTATGTTTCTCTTCAAACTATATGTGATATCCATTTTAGTTGTTGCTGCTGCTGAAAGTCCTCAAGTGTACCTTAACTAAAAAACTGTTTTCCTTGGAAGCCTGCTCAATACTAACAAATATCCAATGGCCAGGGCACTATTGGCCACAGTGATATTTACCATGAAAAAACATTTAAAGATAAATGACCATTTATTTTACACCATTTAAGTGAAGCAGAACTTTGACAGATTATTTTATGATACTTATATAAAGGATTACCAAGAATTATCTATAAGTAAGTATTAAACAGCTTATTAATATTATTTGCAAAGTGTAACACAAGGCCTTAAAATAGTTAGGATCAAACTCACTGATGATCAATATGGTTTGGTCTGGTTTGTTTTACAGCTTATCAACTTCAATGGGTCATTTAATGCTGACAACTTTTTTTTTTTTCCTCGTAATATTTTTGTTTTGTCAAAATATCTATTTCGGTTAATATTTTTCCCTCAAAAACATATAGCTGGTAATAGTTTTTTTTTTTTTTTCAAAAAAACGTATAGCTGGCAATAGTTTTTTTTTTTAAAAAAAAAAAAACGTATAGCTGGCAATAGTTTTTTTTTTTTTTTTTCAAAAAAACGTATAGCTGGCAATAGTTTTTTTTTTTTTTCAAAAAAGCGTAATAGCTTTTTTTTTTTTCAAAAAACGTATAGTTTTTTTTTTTTTTTTAAAAAAAACGTATAGCTGGCAATAGTTTTTTTTTTTTTTTTTTTCAAAACGTATAGTTTTTTTTTTTTTCAAAAACGTATAGCTGGCAATAGTTTGTTTGTTTGTTTTTTTTCAAAAATGTATAGCTGGCAATAGTTATTTTTTTTCTAAAAATGTATAGCTGGTAATATTTTATAATGCTTTTTACCTCAGTTTCAGGGTTAACTATTTGTCCATAGCTGGGACCCTAACAGGTGCTACCCAGAGTGGACCTGGGAACACCAGCAATTAAGAGGTGGTTCCACACTCCTCAAAACCTCCTAATCAGAGGCCTTGGTGTCGGACATAGTTTATTGTCTTACCAAGGATGCCAATGTAGTTTATCATCCTACCCGGGACACGGATGTAGTTCATCATCATACCCAGGAAGGAATGATCAATATGATCCAGTTTGCTGACTATAAGATCATGATGAGGCATCAGAAGTTGTTACTTGAAAAACTGGCATCAATTTATTTCTACCATTTATGATGATCCTTATTCTGTGTGTTAGTTAAAAATAAAAGTTGTAAATGATGTCACGTAGTGCTGTAGCGTACCTACGGACGATAATGGGCATGTCCCTATTCCCATAAATACAGTAGTGAATACTGTATATGGTATGCAGTTGTAGATTCATTGTGGAATTCACATGACTCACTTCTAGCAGTTGACTACTTCCTCTATGTGCTGCTGGCAAATCTTATATATGTTGTTCTTGTCCTAAGTATTATCGTTCATTACCAACTTTCATTTAAATATTCTATTCAGTAACCTTCCCTAGGTTACAACACAGCAATTAAATTTATACACAAAATAATCTTATTCTGTCAGAAAATTCAAATTTCTTGCAACATATTTGTAAAAGGATGATTAGAATTTCTCAATATGCCATGAAGTTCACTTCAGCTGTTGAAATAGACATCTTTTTTATCAAATATCACAATTTTATCAGATATGGAATAGAATTCAACATAGGAAAATCCAAAATACTTGCAAAAAAGTTCACAGAAATCTGCACATGGACTGCTACAGCCACAATGTCCAGATTGGAAAGGAGATGGAAGAGCAACTTCAGCTTCCATACCAAGTTCATAATCTGCAAATCACTGGTCATATCCATCCTCCTCTACAGGTGTGAGACTTGTGGTTGAAGCAGTAAAGAGAATCCAGGTGTTCTAGAACAAATGCTTGAGAAAGATCCTCCACATCTTTTATATGGAGCAAAAAAAAACCAATGACTATATATGGAGCAAGGTCAAAAGTCTTGTGGGCCAACATAAATCTCTCCTTGACACTATTAAACATCAGAAGATGGCATGATTTGGCCACATCATATGGCATCACAGACATACTGTTTTTTTTGTTTGTTTGTTTTTTTAATTATTATAGTGTGTTTTTTTTTTTAACTCATGATGCTAATAATATTTTTTTTTACTCTTTTCACAATATACAGTCTAATTTATCTACCGGATACTTTAACTGAAATTATGTCCATAGTAGTCTATTGTTAGTTAGTACTCTTTATATACTCTAGTCTGTAATCTATGCTATGGTGTCCACATGTCTTTGACGTGACTTGCAGACTTTTTGGCATAGATTTTTTCAATACTACACTGATTTTAAGTTTTTTACTTTTATAGTTCTTCATGTCTAAGCTTATTTCTTGAAACTTTTTTTCTCTTTGTGTATTTAGATTGTTTAGTTCTGAGGCCTTCTTTCATTAACAATGTTTGTATCGTAATGAAGTGAGAGGAAAACAAAGATAAGAATAGTACAAAAAAAAAAACCAAAAACATCTTGAAATTAACAAGTCATCTCAAACTGTCAAACCTTAAAAAACAGTTTCTTAACAAGGTGCTGTTATTAGACAAACATATAAAAATGCCATTTACTCTAATGATTACATACAGAGAGACAAAACAAATTACGAGAAGAGCAGAGGGAATAAAACAGGAAATACAGGTGTATATTTTTCAGGCAGCATCTTTAGAATTTTTTTTATTTTATTTTATAACTGCCCACGAACTGAGCCCGAGTTATTTTCTGCATCAAACTAAATATTTCTAATAGGGAGAGAAAACAAAATGATAAAAACCTCAATTTTTTTCAATTCTTACCTAAAATCTTTTGAAGCCAGTTTAAACAATGAATGTATATTACAGATAGAAAAACAGAAAAGTATTGTCAGTAGTCAGAAACTAAATGCAACCATTACTGAGAAAATT